AAAAAAAAAAAAAAAAAATTCGTACTTCCCTATTGCCATGAATGTAGTGTTCGGAGAATGTAATTGAACAGCTCATGAAAATTTGTGTCTTCCTTTCTTGATTCAGCATCATTCACTCCAAGTCCATAATTAAATTCGTGAAAGTCTTTAAGACCCTGTGCCAGTGACAATTCTTGATCTGCTTTTCTTGCAGAACAAAGATGCTGGTGATTCCGACAGTGAAAAAGAACAGGAAGAACTGAACGAGCTGGAGAATTTACTGAAGAAACACGATCCTGACTTTTCAAAGTAAGTCACGGGGCTAAATTGGCGATTTCCTAGTTTCAAAACTAAGGATAAGTGTCAAACCTTTCATGTGAAAACGAGTTTTCCTGGTGTGAAAATAAAAAATCATTTTCATATCAACAGCTTCGTTTTTAGCCTCGTTTTGAAACAGAGGTTTGAGGCAACTTTGGAATGTCCTATTACCAATTAAGTCTGAAAACTGTGCGCGTTTTTTCTTTTTTTTTTCGTATTACTATTGCTTCTTACCTGTTTTCACAGGAGCCTAAAAACACTATGTCAACACAAGTGCGTTCAAATTTGTAAGTGCGGCGTTTACTGCTGACCACTGGAAAACAGTATTTATCCATTTACTGAATTGTTTACTTAGGATTTGCTACAATTTCCGTTTACGGTCGTCCATTTGCATACAGAAGCCAAAGTCGCGTGTAAGTTTGTTCCCGTTTATCGGAGAACTTTCAAATCACGTGTTCAGCAAATGGCAAACGTTAGTTTTTTTTTCCGCCTGGCCAAGTTTTTGCTTTTGCTCTGTGCTTTAGCTATCGTTAATTGTTTATGTCTTCCCCAAAATAAGTAGTTTCATGTTAGATTCAGCTATTTTCTTTAGATATTTTTTATTGCTATTACTATTTTCGTGTCTCTTTGCTGTTGCAGACGTTTTGGTGGCAAACTAGAATCTGCTGTTGACTGGGAGGAATATTATCAGCTGCATCTTGGTGTCGAGAGAATAAGGTAACTAGTTACGGTTGTCTGTCGTACAGCGCAAGTGGAATAGTTCCTCAGCTCCGCCTCGAGAAACGTTGAGAATTTCGGGAAACAACATTAAATATTTCCTTTGGTGCCAGTCGTGTTATTGTCATTTTGCCAATAAACGGAAGCCTAGAAACTAGAAGATTTAATCGGGATAAAGTACTGGCCAAAACGTTCGCGAAACCTTGCCCGTTAAGTTTTATCTGCTGTTAAAGTACCGATCAATTCGGCCCCTGGGGAAAATTTGACTTTCAAATGTTCCTTTTTGTGGTCAGAATAAGCTGTCAAATGCCCCTATGTCGTCAAATCCCCCTGAGTTACAAATAAAGAAAATGAGCCGCCGTAAAAGATTCCAAAGCTGTGGCGTTTGGAGGGCTAGCCTTCGTCAGAGCAATTAAAGGGATTGTGGGCTATGTGAGGTCAACATATCATATGATGGACCCACGCTGTTGGTGGGAACATCAGTAAACATGAAACACAGGCATGCTGAGATACATTGTATTAAAGGCGTCCATTGATTCCGTGGTAATTTGAGTTTTCCATTTGAATGCCGATAAATTCCTTGTTGCCATACTGCACCGCGGATTTTCGTGTTTTCAGAAAAATTATGTCTCACTCCCCCACTGACGCAGGAAAAACTGTTTACTTATTGTTTTTGTCTTTTTTTTGTCTCAGAGTTCCTGAGATCGTATATCAACCTTCCATGCTTGGCATTGAACAAGCCGGTATTGCGGAAACTATTGATTTTATACTTAACCACTTTTCGGCCGATTTACAAACAGCATTAGTGCAGGTACGAGTGGAATAACGAAATTTTTAGCTCTTTACTGTTACTAGTTTTAAACATTACCTATCCAGCTTAGACGTCAGTAGTCCCCATTGAGTTTTGATTGTTCGTTTAACAGTTTAAGCATTGCTTTCGACTTCCGAAATTGAAGAGAAAGGTGCTATTTTACGATAATCAGTTTACTGTCTTCAGTCCAAATGAAAACGATCTTAAACATGCGATCCTAGAGAGAATGAAGAACCAGAGTGGATACTCCAAATTAGGTTTTCCATTGAAACCGCTTATTTTTATCACATATATGGCCTACGTTGCCTATTACAATATTTCACACTTAACGGTTCAATCAACCTGTAATCCTTATCACTGTAGATGGGTGCTGAATTCCACACTGAACTCCTTTTCTTACACAACTGATGCTATTTGATCCTTTCAAATTTCTCAAAATGTGTGTCCAATTAATGCAGCTCTTTGCAATGAATATTATGTTGTGGAATTGGCATGAGGTGTCCCACTGGATTTTGGAGTATCCATTCTAATCACAAAATTCGCGGAGGAGTCGGCTTCGAGCGCAAAAGGCCGCGTAAAAGCACTTCCGTGAATTGGGTTCAGTATTTGGTATTGTTTGGAAAAAACGGAACTCGTTTACTTCCGGCGTGAGTGTTACTAGATTTAAAGTGCTGCCAAGAAAGTAAGAGCCATTAATGTCGTGTACTGGTGCCTGCTCTGTATATCTCTACTTTTCTTAGAGATAACAGGTGTGATTCGATGCTACAATCTGTACTCGCATGTATTTGCTTTTCTGTTTTTTCTCCTAGAATGTGTTTGTAACAGGAGGAAATACACAATTCCCCAACTTTCAAGAACGTCTGGAGAGAGAGCTCCTTGCTATCCGACCCTTCCAATCTACATTTAAAGTTTTCACGGCAGGTTCGTTGAATATTTTGCTTCCCTGTCAACACAATGTTAGAATAGATTTGACACAGGCAACGTTAGGTAAATGCACCTTAAAACGCTTCAGTCTTATAAAAGGTATTAATTGAAAAGGGGAACTTTCAAAGTTATTTTTTGTCTGCAGACACACATTCTCCATAACCCTGTCACGTGATCCCACCATTTGAGACTCCAAGGACCCAAATCGTGTGTAATGCGAATGTACTATTAAGGTCTTCGACAGCTCATGCCTTTTGCTGACAAGGGACGTCTGTGCTCAGGCTACCGTATTATTTCAATAAAACTGTTGACGTTATTGTTGTTCTTTTATCGTTTTGAAAATTCTTCTAACCTTTTTACTCACGTTTATCCAGGTAACCCGGTTCTCGATGCATGGTACGGTGCTCGTAAATGGGCAAGGACTCTCAGCAACAACCTACGGACAGTCAGTGTTACTAGGGAGGAGTATGACGAAAAAGGGGGAGAATATCTCAAGGAACACTTTGCGTCAAACCTTTACGTAACTACCCCTTCCCAGTCATAGCGCACGCTCAATCCGTTGACGTCGATAAAATCCTTTTTATAACTTAACGCATTATCAATGAGAAAGTTCACCGTGTGGCAATCATCGATGTTTCAGTATGATGCTACAGCGCCAGTGAATTAAGTTATACACTGTTGTAATTACTTACTTATGTAACTACATTGTTATATATGAAATTGAAAAGGACGCTTTTTAAGAGAGAACTCGGGTCACAATCTTCGGGAATTAGAGAAGACAAAAATGAAATACTTAATGAATGCTTCGAGTTCCATCTTTGCCTGTGAGCCAGCCATCCGATTCGTGAGACCGATTGAAGCAAACTACTCCGTGTCTGGGCTCCCTAGGTCTGTTTGTATCCCTTCACCCCATCCCGTCATGACTAAAGACCTGTACTGGTTCAACATTAGAAAGATTTAGAATCCACCTGGTGACCAAGTTTTACCTTTTTTTATCGTTGACTGTATAATAAATCTTAACAAAATTAGTAGTTTTTTCACACAGGTTTCATGAACAACAATTATTTTGAACAGTTTTTATCTGCTCATTTCTTATTTTTTTTGATAAATTTGACGTTCGCCGTTTGCCGTAAACGTGATTCTAAATCTCTCTATTGTCTTCAAAACGAGGGAATATGACACGATGAAACCTTGAGTTTTTTTGACCTGATTGACAGACTTTCTTTTGGTGGCTTAACGGTAACGCTCTGGTCACTTGTGCTCAAGTCCTGGCCTCGAGTACTTTCAAAGCAATGATTAGTTTTCTTATTCGTTTGCATTTCGTTTTCTAACTTGCTTACGTATACGGTGGTTTATAGAGATACGGACTCAACAATAGATGTAGTTGGTACACCTAAACCACACGTAGTAGTCTTAAACATCATTTGATTAACAAAAAAATGTACCCTATGCATTTTTTAGCCTGTAAAACCTATGTCTGCTACAGTAGAAAACTTAAACCCAGTTCATTTGTCCCGTGCACACTGTTCGAAGCAGGGAAAACTTATCAAACGGTTTGAAGTGGAAATGTCTTTTAAAAAAAGGGCGAACGTTCGCGTCTAAAACATCTTTTCTTCTATGGCATTACATCAGGGGTCAATTTTTCACTAAAGAAGAAAAAGCAAATGTGGACTTAAAAGGTAGCTTTCTTTTTACTCTAAAGGTTCTCATTTTAAATGCAGAGACTTCACACTTAAATTTCTAAAACAGAAAGGCGTTTGTTATAAGCCTTGTGTTACGATGAAAATGACTGGCAATTTAACAGCGCTTTCCTACACGAATAGCGCTTTTGATAGAAGTGATTGCAAAATAGATAAATAACTTGTAAATACGAACAAACTCAAATACATCTGTACACAAAAATTGATGCAAAATAAACCAAGAAAAGTATTTGTACATGTCGAAATCTCTTTGAGCACGTACGAGCCTTAACGACTCAGAGGACGGAAGGAGAAAGAGTTGAACGAAAACTTTCCACATCTATCGGAAATCCTGACAGGAAGTTGAACACGTTCATAAGTAGTATAGGGCGCACTAAACGAACCATTTTTGTCATGATCAAGGCCGTCCTTACAAACACATAAGCTCCTTATGCTCAGACTAATGCTTATGCTTGCCTCGCTAGTGAGCTGGGACCAGGCCCCAAGTTGTTCAAAAGGTGGATAATGTTATCAACTAGATAAATTTCTATCTAGTGCACGGTGCGATTGGTTTTCCTAATAATTATTCGCTGTACAGTGATTTATAAGTTGCTTGAATAACGCTATCCAACGTTTGAACACGCGGCCGGGCTTCAAGGATACAGAGTGAAGCGTACTTTGTTTCAAATTAGAGAAACGATAGAAAATATTTCCTAATGGTTATTTTGATAGCGTAATACATTAAGGTTGGTGCCAGTGCAAGTTTTGCAAATCATCGATAGTACAAAACTATCTTGGCATTAGCAGTAGCAAAATCCTCTGCCGTCAAGGCCTCAAAAGTTCGCGAACGGTCTTCAGGCATTTTCAAAGGTAGAGTTACCTTGACACATTCTGCTCGCACCCAGCAAATTCTAATGTGACGTTATCACCAACCGTGAGCACAAACGGTGCCCAGTATTTGACTGCACCAAACTCCTCAGATTCTCTCATGCAGTTGATTGCTTGGTTTAAGGCTTCACTTGCACTTTTTCCTTTCACAAGATGTTGATAGAAATTGGTTTGACGCGTCCTAGGTTCGATGTCTGACCCAACAGACGATCTTTACTTAATTCAGGTCGACCCAAATTAGAGTTTGGCTCGTCTCGTGCAAAGTTTGACGTTTGGCTTAGGCCTAAGCCTAAAATACATCAAAGATAAATAGTTTTTCTATACAACCATAAAAACTCCATATGTGAATAATTTATGAAGTCGATATCCCCCATCGAGTGACCAGCTAAAGTGGTACTTGGTTCTCCTAAGCTACTGTATGCAGATCCTTTCCTAGGCAACTACCAGACAAAGAGAAAAACGTAACAACAAGTTTACTCTCCGGGGAACACCTCGAAATCAATAACCTATATCTAACACTCCTAGTATCCTAGTATAATGGTGAATTTGCGTGTCCCTTATCTGACACTAGCAGAGTCTGCACGGGTGAACCAACAAGTTTACCCAAAAAAACAATTACAGTACATCTCATCCAGGGTAAAAAGACTCATTCACGAAAGATGTCCTAAATAACTTATTCCCTGGCCTCAGATCATAACACTAATTTATCTGATCCGACACCCGTTATAGCAGCAAAATAAAAAAGGCGATTTTTGACATGTGAATTTTTTTCTAAAAATAGAATGCCAAATATTATAAAAAGGCGATATTAAAGTTAAGTCCACTAAAAAACCAAAAGATGGCCTACCAAAATATAGGTTATTGAAACGCTAAGGTACTTCAGCATCGTATTTGTAAAACAATTAAAAATTAAACAGAAAAGGAGCGCAACAAAAAACCCAGAACCTATTTGGGATTAATTAGCCTTTGTTAATAAAGTAAACAAATTCACTGTTATACGTCAATTGATGTAAGCTTACCGCCATAGATTCTATTTCTTTTAATTTTTTTTAATTGTTGCTGCATACTTAATGAGCACTGAAGTCACTCACACCTAAAGCATTTCCGTCCCTAGAGCAGTAGCGTCACTAATGAAGCCGAGTTGCTCTGAGGATAAGAATGAACGCAAAGTATTTATAGTTTTTGTCAGCTGAGACTTTCAATATGGATTCACAAGGATTTTATTCAATCGACAGTCTGAAAGTTTTTCCAGTCTGATAGAATTCTGAAACATTTTAGTGTAAAATTGATTGCTTTTTATGCATGCTAGAATAGAGATTTGACAAAAGTTGCAGCAACGATCAAAGTAATCAATTCACTAAGAGAATCTAATGGGTTACGCTTGAGCTGGTTTTTATTTAATGTCTCTAGATCTCAGAAAAACTAAGACCAACGATTTTTTTTCAGTCGCCAATATGTTTTTAGTAAGAGTAATGCTTCCTAAACTCCCATCAAGTGAAAAGCAGGAGGCACGGCATGCAGGGTAACACTTCTATACGCACTTTCCTTTCTATCTAAATACCGAAATGAATATTCCTAAAGAGAGCACCGACTACTGTGTGTAATTATAAATTTAAAACAAATACTGTACAAAACCATCTCCAGAAATATAGACTTACCTAGAATTAAAGGAAATTTATTCACATAAAGCGAATTCTAATGTGACGTCATCACCAATGAGCACAAACGGTGCCCAGTACTTGACTGCGCCAAACTCCTCAGATTCTCTCATGCAGCTCATTGCTTGATTTAAGGCTTCACCCGCACTTTTGCCTTTTACAAGATGCTGATAGAAATTTTTCATGAACTCAAGAGTGGCCTTATCATCAACTGCCCATAAAGACACGAGAACAGAACGAGCACCGGCTCCCAAAAATGCCCTTGCTATGCCTACTACACCTTCTGCTTTGATCTCTCCTTGAGCACTATGACAACAACTGAGTACAACCAGTCTTGCTCGCATTTGAACACGCAGTACGTCCTTCATTGTCAACATGAAATCCTTCTCACCATTATTTGGTGCCAAGGCAATTTCGCCTGCTTTCATGCTGCCATGTGCAGCAATGTGCACCAAAGCAACCGAACCGAGTCGTCTTAATACCTCATCCTTTGTGGCTTGTCTTCCAATAAGAGGTGTACAGTCAAGAATTCTACCAATCGTCTCTACCTCCTCTCTGGCATGTGGCAATCTTGGTAGTTTTGTCACATCTTGCACCCACGGGTCACCCACAAGAAGCGCGCCAGACATGACGTGGTAATCTACCGGGCAATCGGCAATTATTTTCAAGCTGGTAAGAGATGGAGCTATGCGAATTCTGAACGATTCACTGAGGTATTTGGAGTTTGGACCCTTCAATGCGGCAAAAGGAGCCAAACAGAGTGGACCTTCGGGGACGAATAGGATTTCACTTCCCCAAAAGAGATCTTGAATAGGATCAATGATTACGTCGGACAAAGTATTCAAAGAACTGTTTAAGTTCTGGAATTGACTGCCATCACTAGTTGATCTTTTAACTGCCAGTCTTTCATGTCTTTTACCATTCAGCAATTCAAGTGAGCGATCTTCACACTCCACATAATCTCTTGCACCAATTTCCTGACAGACAAGCTCCACAAGAGACTCAAAGAAAGAGCTAATTTTCCCCTTTGAATCTATTGGGTTTATTCTTACTTCAAGGGCCGTTCCTTCCTGACAAACCCAGAAAATTAATTCGTTCTCTCCAAGCGCCATAAATATCGTATTCGTGGGAAAGTGACTGGATAGTTCATTAAAGGTTCTCATGTCTCCTTCATCTGACTCAGCGTCATTCACTTCCAATCCATAATTTAATGCCATAAGGTCCTTAAGACCCTGTGCCCGTCCATGCTCTGCAGAAATCAAAGCTTCTGTAATCTTGCCCTCTCCTAACAACAAGCGCCAAAGTGCGGCGTATGTTGTCTGGTACTGATCGCCTAGGCTTACTTTCCAGTCGTCGTTAAAATGAAGAAGATCTCTGATATTATTTAACAAAGTAATACTGCGCTGGAAATATCCAATAGCCACTGAAACTTGGCCAAGACATTCAAAACCTCGACCAAGATTCGAGCATGCTACTGCTTCTCCCGATCTGTCATCCAGGTCTTTCGTAATTTCTAGATGACGTTCAAAGTAGCTAATGGCTGTTTCAAAATCTCCCCGACTGTTATTGCTGCAGCCAAGATTACAATAGGCCAGTCCTTCTTCTGACCTGTCCCCCAATTCTATCGCAATTTTAAGATCACGTTCACGGTAATCAATGGCTTTTTCAAAATCTCTCAGTCCGTGATAGGCATTGCCAAGACTGCCATACGCTTTTCCTTCTCCCGATCTGTCACCCAGTTCCTTTGTAATTTTTAGATGACATTCATGGCATTCTATGGCTCTTTCAAAGTCTCTCAGCTTCGCATAGGCACTACCAAGATTCCCATACGCCATTCCCTCTCCCGATCTGTCTTTTAATTTTTTCGCAATTTTTAGATCAAGTTTATGGTAATCTCTTGCTTTTTCAAAATTTCCCAGACTGCAATTGGCATTGCCAAGATTGCCATACGCTTTTGCTTCAACTGATCTGTTTCCCAATTCTTTCGAAACTTTTAGACCACGCTCAGTGTAGTCTATGGATATTTTAAAGTTTCCCATACTGTTATGGACAGTGCCGAGTCTGCAATACTCATTTCTTTCTCTCGATCTGTCACCCAATTCTTTCGCAATTCTTAGAGCACGTTCATGGTACTCTAGGGCTGTTTTAAAATTTCCCAGACTGTGATGGGTCATGCCAAGATTGCCATACGCTTCTCCTTCTACCATTCTGTTTCCCGATTCTTTCGCAACTCTTAGACCACGTTCAAGGTAGTCTATGGATATTTTAAAGTTTCCCATACATTGATGGACAAGGCCAAGTCTGCAATACTCAATTCCTTCTCCCGATCTGTCACCCAAGTCTTTCGCAATTCTTAGAGCACGTTCATGGTAATCTATGGCTGTTTTAACATTTCCCAGAAAGTGATGGGTAATGCCGGCCAAGATTACCATACGCCTTTCCCTCTTCCGCTCTGTCGCCCATGTCTTTCGCAATTTTCAGGTGACATTCATTGTAATATTGGGCTGTTTTAAAGTTCCCCATGCTTCGATTCGCGTGACTAAGATTGGCGTACGCTATTCGTTCTCCCAATCTGTCACCCAATTCTTTCATAATTTTGAGACCACGTTCATTGAAGTCTATGGCTGTCTTAAGGTCTACTAAATAGCAAGTGTCACCAAGATAACAATAAGCAAGTCCTTCCTGCAATCTGTCACCCAATTCTTTCGCTGTTTTTAGTTTGCGTTCATAGTAGTCTTTGGCTGTTTTTAAATCTCTTAGTCCTTGATGAGATTTTCCAAGAAAGCCATATGCCTTTCCTTCTCCTGATCTGTCGCCTAGTTCTTTCGAAATTTTTAGATAACGTTCATAGTAGTCTATGGCTGTTTTAAGATCCCCCGGGCGGCCATGGTCAATGCCAAGATTGCCATACGCCTTTCCTACACCCGATCTGTCACCGAATTCTTTCGCAATTTCTAAATTACGTTCGTGGTAGTCTATTGCTGTCTTAAAATCTCCCATATTCTGATAGGCGTTTCCAAGAGAGG